TTCCTCATTCTCTTGTTTGATTCTGGTTTAGAGAGTATCAGTATGAGTAATTTAAAAATAATTAATAAGTATGATAACTAAGATTAGCTTAATAATTGGCAGGAGTATTCGTTTACTTCTCCGTTTGGGGAAGCATAATCAGGTGGTTGGATTTAATTGCCACAGGAGATCCAGCGGCCCAAAATGATTGACGAGGGAGGCCGCTGGCCTTGCTTGGCGACTGCGATGGAAAAGGACGTGTTGATTCATCTTTGACCACGGGACCCTCCTTGATGTGTTGAATTACTTAGTCCATCGGTTTGTCCGGCCCCTTCTCTTATTGGTGGAGTTTATGGCTCCGTTTCGATGGGAATTCCTAAAAGTCAAATCATAAATCATAATATTGGTGAAAATGATTTTTGCCAGAGCCACGACTTATTTGGTTTTCGGACTGTATATAGTCGTGGGCGTGAAAGAAAATTAAGAACTTTTTTTAGTAAGTCAAATAGCTCCTCGGCTCTCTGATATAAAATCTATTTAACTAATTTAATTAAATTAAAAAAATCTGATAAGTTAGTTAATTATAAAAAATATGATATATTTTTATAAAATATCACAATTATTTTTTTAATATACTTCCTCTTTCTCTTACTTATAAATAAATTTTATAGTTAAAACTAATATCAACTTAATAATTAGGAGGAGTATTTGTTTACTTGTCCATTCGGGGAAGCATAATCAGCTGGTTGGATTTAATTGCCTGAGGAGATCTAGAGGCCCAAAATGATTGACTAGGCAGGCCCCTGGCCTTGCTTGGCAGTTGAGATGGAAAAGGACGTGTTGATTCATCTTTGACCGCGTGACCCTTTTTGATGTGTTGAATTACTGACTCCATTGGTTTGCCTGGCCCGACTTGGCCTCTTCTCTTATTGGTGGAGTTTATGGCTTCGTTTCAACGGGAATGCTTAAAAGTCAAACAAGCAAGGGTGAAAATGGTTTTTCGCCAGAGTTACGAGGCACGAATATTATGAAGATTCATCCGCACGCCAGCGCAACAAATTTCTAGTACTTGCCAACGGGCTAAGCAAGGTACGTACGAATACCCTCCTGACGACTCCTGCAGGACACAGCTTCCGTTAAGAAAACAAGAAACACTTTTTTTGTTTTTTGGGGAGGGGGGTTGTAATGCTAGTTCCCGTCTTCCAGCCTCCGCTTATGGTAGGTCATCCACCACTAACTTTGCAAGACTCAGGAGTATTTGAATAGGATTAAAATTATAATTTTAAAAATATTTTTACAGTATACAAAATAAATTTAAAAAATAAATTTATTTTAATTTGTGAAAAAATACTTTCTAAGAATGCTCTTCAAAGAAACCAAATACCCCTTAATTGTTGACTTGAAGTCAAGCTCCGCTATCTTCTTTTTCTGGGTTCCCTTTTTCACCTGCCACCCACCTACTCTCCCTGCCATGTGGCCACTCTCACTTACGGTTCAAACTCAACCTCATTTTCCTTCCCATACTTCGCCCTCCTCATATTTAAGAGGTATTTAGATATCTTAATAATCACTTTTTAAAAATATTTTTTTGTAAATCGAGACAAAATCTTTTACATTTTTATTTTCGTATACTGTAAAAGTACTTCTGAAACTATAGTTTTAAATTTATCCAAACATCCTCTTAAATGCCCTCGGCATAGAATTATGCATCGTTTTACCTTCAAAAATACGCCAGCCCTCCATGTTTAATTAAACTACAAACTAAATCAGAAGCCATAATTTATAAATTTCAAAAAAATAAGCTAAGTACACCCTTCAAGTTAGTTATACTCGACGGCTGGCCCAAGCGAAGCAGTTCACCCGTCGCCTTTTCAAGTTTTTCCCCCCTTTATGTTACTATGATTTTTAACTTCTCAGGTTTACTTTATTTTAATTTTGATTCCTCAAGTCTCATATTATAGATTTTGATTTTATAATGAATAAAATGATTTGTGTTTTTATTAAATTATAAGAACTAAAAATTATATTAATTTTTTTCTCGTTTCAATTGTAGCTGTCCTGTATAATTATCTCCAGCTTCGGAGACTAATTCCCTTCGCGTGTTTTTTGACCTCGCTCGTCTTTTGAGGTTAACTTATTTCCATCCATGTGTTTTGACTTCACCATCCTTTCGTGTTCGTCACATCCCTATTGTCTCAAGCAAGTCCATTCATGTCATCTCGTGTTGTGATCATATCATGACAAGTTCATTCGTAAATGGTGCGGCTTCTTTTCATTTGAATCATATTTCGAATTGTTTAATAACCAGTCCTTATTTGTTCTGTTTGGGATGCTGATTCGGCGTGCTCCATAACAGTTACATATATACCTTTTATTCGTCTGATGTTGATTTGGTATGACATCAAGTTATTTGATGAAAATCATGGATGCTGTTTTGCCGTCAGATATGGCTTTATGTGAATGCTCAAACAACGACGGACGAGATATTGGGGCGTATTTTGCGCGATCTGAGTTCACGCACTTTATTTTTCATCCTATTTATAAGATATTTTAAACATTTTTTATATAAACTAAAATTTTTTTAAACAATATTAACTCTCTATTAAAATATAACAGTTTTTTTAACTTCATTCTTATTTAATACATACACATTTAAAAAGTAACTATCTATATTATAATAAATAAGAAATAAAATAGTATATTTATATTAAAAATTTAATAAAATGATTTATAAATAAGTCTAAAATGATTTTTCCCTGTGCTTCATAAATAGGATTAAAGAAGTATTTTATGAAAAAATTGATTAGAAAATAGCGATAACAATATTATAGGGCAAGAAATATAATTAACAATAGTAAGATGGGAGGCCTTTTCTTGTCTCCGCTACTTGGCTGTTGTAGTTTCGAAGTCGTTTCCTCGATGGTTTATGATCTCAGTGAAAAGCCAGTGCCAGTATTAAAAGCAACTCAAAATATTGACCCCGTAATAGCAATATTAGCGACTTGCGAGGTGATGCTGGTCCCAAAAGTCGTGGCCGCGACGCATTCTGTTGCGTGGGCCCCACCGTCCCCGGGTATAACTTGATAATGGAATAGAATTATTTTGTATAGTTCGCTTTTTACTGTTTCTGGAAAATTCAGATCCATACGTTATTTTATACTGCTATTCCTGGATTAGTTCGAGGCCCGGAAGATTCCCAGGAACCCACAGTTGCCCGCCTTCCAAGTTATCGTGATCTCCGGATTCATGCCACGTCAGAACGAATTCTCAGCAATTAATATGAAGTCCGCTCGAGCGCCCACAGATTATTTTATTGACATTTTTGTTCCGTCGTTGTTTTCCATTGTTTAACTGGTATTTAGGTTTATTGTTGATTACGAAGAGAATGACATGTTTACATATAAGCAATTTCCCACCCTTTTAATTTGTTCGTTGGCAAAAAATGTATCATTGTTTTCCTGACTTGAACGGAGGAAAATGAAACTCCAAATTCAGGGGATTAATTTAATAACACCAAGACCTAAATATTTTATTAAAATTTGAGTTCTGAATATCGATTCATGTAACTATAAATATATAAATCTCAGTCAGATATTTAAATCTCACACATGATTCTTTATAGGGTAATTTGTAACTATCTCTCTATTTTTTCTCTAGTGCGTCATCTCTCTCTCTCTCGGATAAAATTTGATGCCATTGTTTTTGAATCTATCGACAGGGTCTGCATTGTTTTCTTAGCTTTCTTTTTCTTCCCCATGTTCAAATTTTCTCAGGTGCCTCTTTTTTAATATTAACCACGACTCAATTTATTTCATCACTAAACAAATGTCTAGGTAAAATCCAAGTCATAGTTTTAAAAATAATTTTAGAACATAAAATATATATAAAGGGTTTTGTCTCAACTTGTGTAAAAATATTTGTAAAAAGATTTTTTATTGGTCAAATACCTCTTAGTTAAGTAAAGACCGCTATAATCGTAAGTTGTTGAATTAAATTCGATGATTTAGTTTTGATAAACGTAAAAGATTTGATTTCAATTGTTTGCAATTAAAGTGAAAGTACGGTATAAAAAAATCTAACAGAGATAGATTGGGTTTTTTTTTTAAAAAATTGAATTACTCCTCTGATTCCAAATATAAATCTCTTACAATATAAGGGTCTTATATTTAGAATCAGAAAAATATAAGATACTAAAATCATACGGTTAAAATATTCATGATTTTATAAGTGGCGTGATTTTTTATATTGATATTGATGAAAAACTTTTAAAAAAATACACACAAAAGTATCTGTATTCTACAAATTTGGTATACACAGGATATTAGTACTGTGATTGAAGTCACACTTACTACTAAAAATTTTAATAAAAAATATTTTCCCAATTTTCCCATTAAAATTTCAGCCACCAGGCATCACAATCAACTATTCATCCGACCAGTACATCTTCACATAATCACGAGCCTCAGTATTTTGTAGTTTGTCTTCACGGAATAGTGTCATCATGTAGGCCTCTTTATGTTTGCTGGCTTGAGATTCGCCCTCGATCTTGTTTTTGCCTTAAGAGCATTTTCGTAAATTTGCGGGCTCTAATGTAAATCGAAAATTTGTTTTTATGGTAAATATACAATGCAGAATATCTGCAATTTGGATTTTGGAAGCAACGGACACCAGGAAAATTTTGACCGGAGTTATGAACGTCTCAGATCAAGCCACGCAGGCAAAGCGGCATTTTATTATGAAAACTAAAATGGCAAATTGTACAAGCGAAAACGACATGCAACCAATAGAAAAGAAGACGACAACAACTGTACCAATGAAATATTAAAACACCGGCGAGTCATACATAATAACTTTCCACGTCCCAATAGTCCCATACACGATTCAATGCTACCCTTCAGTGGCCATTTTTGAAGCCTTTTTAATCCCTCGCGAACCTTCCACGAAATTGCCGCTCCAAATTAACTAATTGCCTAACTGCTTCCATTTAAAGCTCATCTTTGCCTAAACCCTAATTAGAGAGACGGAGGGAGGGGGGGAGGGAGAGAGAGAGAGAGAAAGCGCATACACCGTACAGTATCCCACAAACAGATTGCTTTCGTAGTGGGAAATACCATTATAGGCTGTGTTGGGCGAATCCCTGGTGCTTTTTCTTTCATGCTTTCAGTCCCTTGGCATTTAGTTTTCGCGATAAACTGGCGCCCTGGGAGAGCCATTGACGCCCGTAGAAAGTGGCTTCCAGAAATTGGTTTTTCAATTGTTTCGATTTGTCATTTGATTGAATCGAGACATCCGCTTATCTTGTGAGATCGTGTTACTGTGACGCATTTTATAACTAGGGTTTCGGGGTGCCGCAATTCGATCTCGATCTGCGCTTCTCTTTACTTTTGACTGATAATTTTTATTTTGTTTATGAATTAACTGCCAGACGCTTTCCCTAAGAGATTCGCCATTCTCTCTAAGTTTATTTTGGTCGAGTCCAAATGGGTAAAGGAGGCCAAAACTACGGCAAACGAGAGAATCTCAGTTCCAATTCTTCGGATGGGAACACCTTCAAGGCTTGGGCTAAAGATGTGCAGGAATGCGAGGATTTTTTTAGGGTGAAGGTTAAAGCGGGTTTAACTTCCGATGAGGTTGAGAATCGACGCCGGATCCATGGTTGGAATGAGCTGGAGAAGCACGAGGGCCAGTCGATCTGGAGCCTGGTCCTTGAGCAGTTCAACGACACATTGGTTCGAATTCTGCTTGCCGCTGCCATCATCTCCTTTGTGCTGGCTTGGTTAGATGGCGAGGAAGGCGGAGAGATGGAGATTACAGCGTTCGTAGAGCCCTTGGTGATATTTCTGATATTGATTGTGAATGCAATCGTGGGAGTATGGCAAGAGAGCAATGCCGAGAAGGCACTTGAAGCGTTGAAGGATATTCAGTCAGAGCACGCGACCGTGATTCGTGATGATAAGAAAGTTCCAAACATGCCGGCGAAGGATCTTGTGCCTGGTGATATCGTCGAGCTTAAGGTTGGGGATAAGGTGCCTGCTGATATGAGGGTCGTGGAATTGATTAGCTCTACTTTACGAGTGGAGCAGGGTTCATTGACTGGAGAGAGTGAAGCTGTGAATAAGAATAACAAGGCTGTTCCTGATGATTCTGATATCCAAGACAAGAAATGTATGGTTTTCGCAGGGACAACAGTTGTTAACGGGAATTGCATTTGTTTGGTTACTCAGACAGGCATGGAAACAGAGATTGGAAAGGTGCCACCGCCAGATTCATGCGGCATCGCAGAGTGAGGAGGATACCCCATTGAAGAAGAAACTCAATGAGTTTGGAGAGATGCTAACTATTATAATTGGAATAATATGTGCTTGTGTATGGCTCATCAATGTTAAGTACTTCCTTTCGTGGGAAATGGTGGATGGCTGGCCTAGAAACTTCAAGTTTTCTTTTGAGAAGTGTACATATTACTTTGAGATTGCTGTTGCATTGGCTGTTGCTGCGATTCCAGAAGGTCTGCCTGCAGTAATTACAACTTGCCTGGCTCTAGGTACTCGTAAGATGGCTCAGAAGAATGCTCTTGTTCGAAAACTGCCAAGTGTAGAGACCTTGGGTTGTACAACTGTGATCTGTTCAGATAAAACGGGTACATTGACGACAAACCAGATGGCAGCAGCTAGGCTTGTAGCTATGGGTCCTAATGTAGATATGCTGCGAGCCTTCAAGGTGGAAGGAACTACTTACAATCCATCTGATGGTAGAATAGAGGACTGGCCAAGAGGTAGAATGGATGCTAATCTTGAGATGATAGCAAAAATAGCTGCTGTCTGTAATGATGCTGAAGTCACACAGTCAGAGCATAAATTTGTCGCTCATGGAATGCCCACGGAAGCAGCCTTGAAGGTAAGACCTTTACCCTTTTCACGTTCTTTGCCCCATTCTCTTGTGAACCGACTCAATGAAGCCAGTAAACTTCTTTAGTTTTCAACGATATTTTTGTGCCTTCTCTTTGCAATCCAGGTTTTGGTGGAGAAGATGGGCCTTCCTGGAGAAGCCCGAGATGTAAAAGCAGCGAGTGCGAGTTCCGTACTACGTAAGTTGAAATGGGCTCATATGATTTGTATAAGAAAGAATTTTATGCCTCCTGGATATGTTTATCGCATTTAAAGAAGTTTCTTAAATTATTAGTTTACAATTTGAAGTGAGAAAACAAGAATAGGCATCTGAACTACTTTAAGGTTCTTTGAGGTAACTGATTTAGAAGGTTATGTATTGGAGAACAATTGGCTTGGCAGCATGGGAAACTTATTAGTTAATCTGTTCAATACCCAGTACACATAATTAACATGCTCCACCTTCCAATTTTGCGAAGGTTGTTGTGGCTGGTGGATTAAACATGACCAACGGATTGCTACTCTTGAGTTTGACCGTGATAGGAAGTCAATGGGTGTTATTGTGAACTCCCCTCAGGGGAAAAAGTCACTGCTGGTGAAGGTACTCTCTCTCTCTCTCTCTCTCTCTCTCAATAGTCATTACACATGACTAACATGCTCTACCTTCAAATTTCCTCCCCCCGTTTTATGACTAACGCATAATCTAGTAAACATGTTCTCCTGCTCTTTTTTCTTTCCCCTGTTTTGCTTTCTTCAGCGCATCAAAATACATTTTTCAGTGACAATTGGCCCTAAAACTTAACAGGGTGCGGTGGAAAATTTGTTGGAAAGAAGCTCTAAAGTTCAGCTGCGTGATGGTTCTGTTGTGAAACTTGATGATAATGCCAAGAACCTTATCTTGCAAGCTCTTCATGAAATGTCAACTAGTACATTACGCTGTTTAGGTTTTGCATACAAGGATGATCTCCCTATGTTTGAAAACTACTCCGGTAATGATGATCATCCAGCTCACCAACTCTTACTTGACCCATCCAACTATCCATCTATTGAGAGTGAACTTATATTTGCTGGCTTGGTTGGATTGAGGGTGAGTTTTTGGGTCACCATTTTTCTAACTTTTGCTTTATCCACTTCAGTTGCGATGTATAATTGAATCTTCGATTGTGCGTAGGATCCCCCTAGAGAGGAAGTGTACCATGCAATTGAGGACTGCAGAGCTGCTGGAATTCGTATTATGGTAATTACTGGGGATAACAAGAACACTGCAGAAGCTATATGCCGTGAAATAGGTGTATTTGGACCCAATGAAGACGTTGGTTCGAAAAGTATAACTGGGAAAGATTTTATGGAGCTACCTGATAAAAAGTCCCATCTGAGACAAAGTGGTTGGCTTTTGTTTTCAAGGGCTGAACCAGGTCACAAACAGGAGATAGTGAAGCTGCTGAAGGAGGAAGGGGAGGTGGTTGCCATGACTGGAGATGGTGTGAATGACGCACCTGCCTTGAAGCTTGCTGATATTGGCATTGCAATGGGCATTGCCGGGACAGAGGTATGTAATTTTTCTTATGATAACATCATCCTGCAAGAATAATCAAGCATGATAGTAATGATGAATGCAAAGAGTTGGTAAACTTTTAACTCTTAAGTTCCATTTTCTCTTCCCGTTGAAATGATTTGAGGCTTATTCACTCTTCAGATGCAGGCTCTTTGACTGATGATTATATGGTTCGTTTGGAAACCCAAATTATTAATTGTTATTGTCTACCTGGCAACTTTTATCTTCAGGTTATCTGCTTATTTTTATTTATCTTTTAACACCACTGTACTTTCTCTTTTGAATCTAGGTGGCAAAGGAGGCCTCCGATATGGTGTTGGCGGATGATAATTTTAGTACAATAGTTGCTGCTGTTGGTGAAGGCAGATCTATCTATAATAACATGAAGGCTTTTATCAGGTGGATCAATCTGTTTTCTCTAAGTCTAAATACGTCAAAGTAGGATATGGTTACATTTCAAAATTGTTATCCTGTCATCCCCAATGGATGACCTGTGGCTTGTTTGCTTCTATGTTGTAAATCAATGACTTCTGGTCCACACAAAATTCTTACTAAAAGTGACCGATAATGTGCTACTTTTGTAGTTCCAATTAAAAGGATAACTGCATTTGACTTTAGCATCTTTCTTTATTTCCTTTTTTATATGCAAGTCTATCGAGAATTGGAATAAGATTGAACTAAGTTTATGGTGCCTGCAGTCACGTACTAAATGTGTGCATAACTTCATTGTTGTTCCATAAAGTATTGAGCAAATGAAATAGAAAGAGAAGGTTTAGGAAAGTGGACTGAAGTGCTAATCTATTTGTCTACAATTGTTTGAGCCGGGGTGGATGTGGTGTATGGGATCTGCTACTTTCCTGTTTCACAATTGATATCTTGTTGATTTGCTACTGCTAATGCTCAAAACCAATTTGCTGTAGAAGTCTTTTTGACAGTCCTACATTGCATGCACGTTTGTAATCTCTGATTTCGGAGTTCCCTAATCCTTGAGGGCATCTGGTGGCTTCCCAGATGTTTGTTTACGCATAAAATACATATTTAGTTTTGTTATTGTATGGTCGTACTTAAGAATTAACAATAAATCATAATCTTTTCCTGGCGATTCAAATATAATTTCACAGGTACATGATTTCTTCAAATATTGGCGAGGTTGTCTGTATATTTTTAACGGCTGCATTGGGAATTCCCGAAGGACTGATACCTGTTCAGCTGCTGTGGGTCAATCTTGTCACGGATGGACCCCCTGCTACGGCTTTGGGATTCAATCCACCAGATAAAGATATAATGAAGAAGCCTCCTCGTCGTAGTGATGATCCACTAATTAATGCATGGATTTTGTTCCGTTATCTGGTACTTTTCCCTGAACCTACCTTTTATTGTGCAACATGTTGATTATGTTTGATGCAATTATTTTCCTGCATTTATATGTTGATATTTTGTTATCTTGCACAGGTTATTGGGTTGTATGTTGGGTGTGCTACAGTTGGTATCTTCATTATATGGTACACGCATGGTTCTTTCCTAGGAATTGACCTTACCCAGGATAACCACACGCTTGTCACTTATTCACAACTTGCCAGCTGGGATCAGTGCTCCTCTTGGAAGAACTTTACTGCTTCTCCGTTCACCGCCGGTGATAGTGTCATTTCTTTCAGTGATTCCTGTGACTACTTCAAAACTGGAAAAGTGAAAGCCATGACGCTGTCCCTCTCTGTGCTGGTAGCCATCGAGATGTTCAATTCCCTTAATGCCCTCTCTGAGGATGGAAGCCTGTTGACAATGCCCCCTTGGAAAAATCCTTGGCTTCTCTTGGCAATGTCTGTGTCATTTGGTCTGCACTTCTTGATATTGTACGTGCCGTTCTTAGCACAAATATTTGGCATCGTGCCCCTCACCTTGAATGAGTGGCTTTTGGTCTTGGTCGTTGCATTCCCTGTCATCCTAATTGACGAGGTTCTGAAATTTGTGGCGAGGTGTACAAGCGGGTCTCAAACTTCTAAATCGAAGACGAAAACAGAGTAGACAACTGAATGTAGTTTTCAGAGAATTAGCTCAACCCTCCAGTGGTTTGGCTGCTGCTATTCTTCAAGCTGAATTGGTGGCCTCTACTCGATGCAGTTTTTAAATTAGTATTGCCCTAGGTCTCTCTGTAACACATTCATCCCATTTTATTATGAGTGATGGATGGCCTTTCTTTGGGTACACTTTCTTTTTTGGTGCTTTGTTCTTTCAAATATTTACAATATGAAAGGATAAACCAATTTTTTTAGCATATTTGGCAAAAACCAAAGATGTGTTTGTTCTTTTATTTTTCTTGGTTGCTTGGGAATGAATCTAAATATTTGAGCTGCGTCGGTAGATTTGTCAACAATTGAAAAGCATGTGAGGATTCCATTGTGTTTCTCCCCTGTGGAATATGATTCAATTCAAACGTACTTTTGAGCAGGCGGCGTAGTACGTTAAATCTGTTGTCGCTAGTAATTAAAGAAAGAACAATTTTTTCCTCGTGGTTCCCCTAGGAATTGGAGCTTTGGTTTTTAAAACGATCTCATGTTCGTGGCAGATGAGCTCTGAATGTATGAGACAGCCAAGTTATTTAAAGAGATTGAGACAGGAAACTAACCATTTGTAAATCATGAAAGAAAAGAAAAGACGGGGAAGGCGGTAGTTTGGTCGACCTTGACCTTGCTCCATCCGACCAACAGGGCTATGCAATATTTCTATAATTGGGGTCTCCTTGTTGCGTTTAGTTTTTTCTCAGCTGGTTTAACCCTCAACTTATCTATATGGCCAAACTACGATAATCTAGCCTGTCAGTGAATCAACGTGCTATCATCAATTAAACCTGACAATTGAGTTATGGTCTTCACCAAAATAAAATTAGAATTACACGCAATTAATCAATGAATCTACCTCTTTTGTATTACAACGTAGGATCATCTGGGCATTGCCATAGTATTGCTCGTGAAGTTTAGACTTTAGGCCGGACCAGCACAGGTGTATATATGGGTTCAGAGAAGCTCAAGCTCCGAGAGCCGCAGATTGCTGACCGTGAAACCAAAACGTAATAAATCGCAAAAATTTAATGATAAGCCCTCCGTTACGCTCATCCACGGTATCACTTGTACGGTCTGCGACGGATATAACATCCACACCTAAACTACAATTTTAAATGTATAGCTTGAGAAAATTCTTATCCGGCAAGGGCTTTTGTTTTCGTGTGAAGAATAGATTAGGACGCGTTGGTGACCCTTTTTGGAGAAATGTAAGTTTATATGTCAGGATAGTCCAATATGGGCAATTAACAAATCATTAAGCAATTGACTTGTGACTCCAACATCACAGTTTGCTGTAACTAACGAACCGAACGAGCCTCAGCAATTCAGAACCATGCACTGGAACGGCAACTTGTTTTTTCCTTGTTATGTCTCTGATCACTCCCTTTTGCAAATATTCCTCCCAACGTAAAATCATAAATAATTTTGTTTGACGTTGATTCCTTTTTATTGCTCCTTACATGGTCCTCTCACATCGCTCCATGTCAATGCTCCTACATCAAGAGAAGCAAACGGGGCTTCACTTCGGATTAAAATATGTGATGTGCTCATTCTTCTCTTCCTTGATGAGATGTTTATGCGGACTACTTTTCCGTCCCATATGGCACCTTTATCTTAAGGTCGAGGATATTTGTCAGAAGAATTCGAGATCACACCATTGACCAGAGATATGTATATCAGGCGCACATACATATATGTTATCGAAATCCCACTTGGTATATCAATTAAAAGTGCATTTGCGCATAGCAAAAGGAAGCTTTAAGCTGTAATTTGTCATTGCAAATAAAGTATCCCCCAGTTTCAGGGGGTTCGGAAAAGCACCCATACGTACTCTTTGTCGAGCACCATGCGTTCCTGTGCAAATGGAAAGACGAAATTTAACTTGTAAATATGTAGGCTTAATTTATAAAAATAAATTTTTTAGAATGTTTTTATGTTTGATTTTTATGCCAGGATGCGTAAACTTTTCCTTAACCTCCAACCCAGCATCACTTCATGCTCTGTGTCTCACACAAAAGTCTCCGTAGCATAACGTAGAACTGTAAGTCTTCATAACTCCCTCAACCATATTCACCGAACACTCTTATGCCAAAAAAGCAAGAAAAAAGAAAGAAGAATAATTACCTAACATTGGCATTATCTTCTTCTCTAACCTTTCTACCCATTTCTCTTCCCTATAAAATCTCCCAACCCTCTCGTTTTTCCATCTGAACCCTCTCAAGGAGTCTTCTCCCTCTTAAACTGCCATTCGGAACGACGTCGTCTATGGACCTCCCCTTGTTTAACCGCTCTCAGCTGGAGCTCCTCCACCTGCCACATCCCCACTTATCCGGTCCCACCCTCGGCGAACTCCTCAAACGCGTCGATGATGCACAAAACGACACCCCTCCCCACCGTATACTCCACCTCGCTCCCCCTCCTTCCTCTTACCCATTCATTCTTTCCTTCACCAACTTAACTTACAGCGTCAAAGTCCACCGCAAAATGACCCTCCCTCAAAACCACGTCGTTTCGGAACATCGCAATGCCGGTAAGGGCACCAAGATTCTACTCAATAACATCTCAGGCGAGGCCAGAGACGGACAAATCATGGGCGTGCTCGGTGCCAGTGGGTCTGGCAAATCCACCCTCATCGATGCCCTCGCCGATCGAATCTCCAAGGACAGCTTAAAAGGCTCCGTCACCTTAAACGGTGAGGCTTTGGAGTCCAGACTTCTCAAGGTCATTTCCGCTTACGTCATGCAAGATGACCTTCTCTTCCCCATGCTCACAGTGGAAGAAACTCTCATGTTCTCCGCCGAGTTTCGCCTCCCTCGCTCCCTCTCTGCCTCAAAGAAGAAGGCCAGAGTCCAAGTACTCATTGACCAGCTCGGCCTCCGGAACGCAGCCAAAACAGTAATCGGAGATGAGGGCCACCGTGGCGTCTCCGGCGGTGAAAGGCGTCGAGTCTCTATCGGAATCGACATCATCCACGACCCGATCATTCTGTTCCTCGATGAACCTACTTCTGGACTGGATTCCACTAGCGCATTCATGGTTGTTAAGGTCTTGCAGCGAATCGCTCAGAGTGGGAGCATCGTCGTCATGTCCGTACACCAACCAAGTTATAGGATCCTCGGCTTATTAGATCGTTTGATTTTTCTCTCTCGTGGCCAAACCGTATATACCGGCTCTCCTGCGAATCTCCCGAGCTTCTTCTCGGAGTTCGGTCACCCGATACCCGACAAGGAGAACCGGACTGAGTTCGCACTGGATCTTATTCGTGAGCTCGAAGAATCACCAGGTGGGACCCAGAGTTTAGTGGAGTTCAACAAATCGTGGCAGTTAAATGCGGCGAAAAATAAACCAGCCACCAACCGATTCTTCACCGGAACTCTCAAGGACGCCATTGCCGCCAGCATTTCCAGAGGTAAATTAGTGTGCGGTGCACCGCATCATTCCAACGTCACCGCGTCGTCGGTTCCGAAATATGCTAATCCATTTTGGATGGAGATGATGGTGATAGCGAAACGATCGCTCACCAATTCCAGAAGAATGCCAGAACTATTCGGAATCCGACTCGGTGCGGTTCTCGTAACCGGAGGTATCTTAGCCACCATCTTCTGGCATCTGGATAATACTCCTAAAGGCGTTCAAGAACGCCTCGGTTTCTTCGCCTTCGCAATGTCCACCACCTTCTACACCTGCGCCGAGGCCTTCCCCGTCTTTCTCCAAGAGCGATACATCTTCATGAGAGAAACTGCTTACAATGCATACCGGCGTTGGTCCTACGTGCTAGCCCATTCCATAATCTCAATCCCCTCCTTGGCTGTCCTCTCTGCAGCATTCGCCGCCACCACATTCTGGTCGGTGGGTCTGGCCGGCGGGAGCTCCGGCTTCCTGTTCTACTTTCTCGTAATGTTCGCGTCCTTCTGGGCGGGAAGCTCCTTCGTGACGTTCCTATCGGGGATAGTGTCGCATGTGATGTTGGGATTCACTGTGGTGGTGGCAATTCTAGCATACTTCCTTCTGTTCAGCGGATTCTTCATAAGCAGAGACAGGATGCCACTGTACTGGATATGGTTTCATTACATGTCGCTGGTGAAGTACCCGTACGAGGGGGTGTTGCAGAACGAGTTCGGGATGGAGCCGCCGAGGTGTTTTGTGAGGGGGACACAGATGTTCGACAACACGCCGTTGGGGGAGGTGACGACGTCGTTGAAGGTGGAGTTGCTGAAGAGCATGAGCAAGACGCTGGGGATGAGCATAAACAGCGAGACGTGCGTGACCACGGGAGCCGATATACTGAGGCAGCAGGGGATTACGGAGCTCAGCAAGTGGGGATGCTTCTGGGTAACGCTTGCTTGGGGATTTTTCTTTAGGTTTTTGTTCTACTTGACGCTAGTGTTTGGAAGCAAGAACAAGAGGAGTTAAACTTAAATGTCCATGATCAGTGCATTAACTCCATCTTGTTCTCTCTGTTTCCTAATTCAAACAAACAAAATAAAGAAAGCTAAGAGGGTCGTCTAAGCACTTTCTAGTTTTAATTGATTGGCTACGTGCATGGAATTTGGCCTGTAACGCGCCCTCTGATCCGCTGAATGTAGAGAAAACCGAATAGAATGTCGCAAATTGAAAACTAGATGAAAAAAATGGAATAACGTTGAATAAAATACTATCTTCGATTTTAATTATAAGGGCTCATTTGTAGAATGTATTATAATTAGGAGTGGAGGAGATAGTAATATAATAAATCGTGTGTCATCGGATCATTCGAGATGCAAGGTGAGAGGAAAAAATAAAAGTTCCTTGTTTCTAATCTGCGAAAAATTGAATTCAATGAAAGGACTTGTATCCTTTTTTTTTTCTATGCTGTTGTCCTTAAAATAAAACAAAACGAAATTATATGTATATCAGGTTATAACTTATAAGCTATTCCATTTTTAAATCAGTCTTGAATAGTTTTTTTATTTATTAAGCACGTGTCTACGCTTTTAGCGGACAAAACCGGATGGTCGGGCTGTCATTTGAACTCGCTAAACTATAAAATCCTTTTTATGGTGGATGGGGTTACGCCGGAGTTGAGCCGTGGTTGAATGAAAGCCAACATTACTAATACACAGTATTGACGATTGCCTTTCGAACTCCGTTTCACTAAAGAACCCTGAGTTCTCACATTTGAGAATACCCCACCACGATTTGAAAAGTTGAACTGTTAAATGCTAATGCTGCATATAAACGGAAGCAATGATATACGTTTTTCTGTCTTTGCAAAACAAGGGAATTCGGCATAATCAACATTAGTCATATAAAAATGGGCTGGGCCGCCAATTTCCGGGGCTAAAAGTACTGAAAGCCTGTTGACACCAGGAATGATGCTTTCTTAAAACACGTCGCGGGATTCAAGGGGGCCCTTGGATCATAATAGTGGTATCCTGGCCGTCCAAGTATGTCGGTACATCCTATAAATAGCAAACACATCATTCTGATCCTTAAGGTCAAGGGTTTGAGATTGCAACCGTCGTCGCTGGAGTGAATTATCCCTGGTGCGAGATTTCTTATCATTTGTTATTTGTTAATCTATCTGTCTTTTCTCGACCTGGCTCTTGATTCGATTGTATCTTGGATTCATGCTGTTCTTGAATTTCTGGATCTCGCGTTCGCTTGTCTACGCAAGTGAATTTTGCTATTGCATCAACCACTGTTTCTAGTCACCAATCTCCCTTCTTTGGGGCATATTCATATTCCAGTTTACACCTCTATATCGCACTTGTTATTTTGCCTGCGACTTTGGATGCAAAATTGTTCTGGGCTGTTTTAGAAAATTGGCGGAAAGATAGTGCCTCTTTTGAAATTGAACATGGCATAAGTTGACCACATCGTTCAGTATCTGAAGTATTTCTCGCGTGTGATCTGTTTCTTTGTATGATCTCATGCTTTTATTAAGCAAGTTCATTTATTTTCGTGTCATTTAACAGCAACAATGCCGCGCTACGATGATAAATATGGCAACACTCGTCTCTACGTGGGCCGTTTGTCTTCAAGGACGCGTTCGCGTGATCTGGAGCGACTCTTTAGCCGTTATGGAAGGTAAACATTATTTTAATCTTGTTCACGATCCAGAATTGATAGCCATTGTTGCAAGCAGTGAACTTGTCCATCGATATAATACGATATGAGGGATCATGCTGTTATTTATTTACTTTTTCCCAAACCTCTTGTTTTGCTGGGAGCCCCTCAATTAAATTTTGACAAAGGTCATTTGTATTGCCAAATATGCTTTTATTCTATTAGTGACTTTTTATAATAATTGCTGAGATCGTGTTTTCTTTCTGAGAGTTGGCCTTGTTTTTCGAAAGTTAAATATATTCAATAGGTGCCAATTTATACATGGTTTAAAGAATCTAATTTTTTTCTGCCTGGTTCATAGTTAATCCTTTCTGTGAATTGACAAGCGAGCTAATTGAGTGGTTAATTGGTGTGGGATTGGGGCCATCTTTTGCCCTGAAAATTAGGGCGTTATATACAGGTTTTGCCAAGCTTTTTTGTATGCTTGGTTTTATATTAGTGGAACCCTATTCCCTAGGTGTCGTGTTTTTAACTTGAATGATCTTGTTGAAGGTTTCTGGGGTTTTGCCTAAACCTGGAGGTCTATGGTGAGAGGGTGGCCTTGGTGGAATTGGTGGAAATTCCTGCTGAGTGTTGACTTTGGCGATTCTTTCTGTAATGTTATTGCGTGTTTTTATGGAAATGGCAACAATCACAAACTGGTGTTTTGTTCGTCTTTGAGGGGCGAAGTATCATACTCTAGCAGTAGTTAAGTAATGATGGCCTTACTGTTTCTGGAAACCATTTACGCAGAATTCGAGATGTGGATATGAAGCATGATTTCGCCTTTGTTGTAAGTTGTCAGTCTTTGCTCTGCTTTTATTTAATTCTTTTCGCTATGATTTCTTCTTGTTTGGGGGAATGAATTGTTGACGGTGGTGAAAATTTCTGTGTTACTTCCATTGTTTGTTCCTCACATCCTTAATACAGGAGTTTAGTGATTACCGAGATGCTGATGATGCAAGATATAACCTAGATGGCCGTGATGTTGATGGCAGTCGAATCATTGTGGAGTTTGCAAAAGGGGTAAGCACTAATTGCATCAACTCTTTTCATGAATGATAAATGTCATGTCTCATTGGTGCCTTAGTTCTCATATGTCTGGTTCCCAAAAAAAGAGGAGAGACAGAAAGGAACTCACGGGGATATAATAAACTGTATGTTGAGTTGTTGCTTCTTGCTGCCTCGATCTCTATGCCTGTAGTTTTTGTTTAACTTTGTTTAGCTGAATATTTTTAACTTACATAGTATCAATTGCTTCAAAATCTTTTTTTTAAAAGAAAAGAAAAGAAAAAAAGGAACTTGATATCATTGTTGTTGTTTGTTGGCTGATTGGATTGTTACCTTACTTACCTTAACAATCAGGTGCCTCGTGGATCTCGAGAATATTTAGGTAGAGGTCCTCCCCCTGGTTCAGGACGCTGTTTTAATTGTGGCCTTGATGGCCATTGGGCTCGAGATTGCAAAGCGGGGGACTGGAAGAACAAGTGTTACCGCTGTGGAGAGAGAGGCCATATAGAACGAAACTGCAAAAACAGTCCGAAGAAGCTGAGGTAGGGCTGTGTAATGCTGCATTATCTATTGATCTTAATATTAGTTTAATTTATGCTGACATTTTTCTTGTTTGTCCTGCAGGCGTGGCCGTAGTTATTCACGTTCACCTTCTCCCCGTCGAGGCAGAAGCCGTGATCGAAGTTATAGTCGTGACCGAAGCTACAGGTTGGATTATTTTAGTCCTTACATGTATTAGATAAAAAGGGTGTAAGCTGCTTTAGCTTCAATGTTTCAAAAGTGGTTCTGTGGCCATTAATTTGTAGGCATGCTAATTCGTCTTGTTTATGTATCTCCATGGTAAATTTGATCTACCTATTGACAAATCTTTTTTTGGTGAATACCTAATTGACAAATCTATTGAATGATAAAGTTGCACAACCTGTAGTAATATACGGTAGAAGAAATAAGCAAGAGCGGAAGACATTGTTTCTCTAGTTAAATTCTATCTGCATCATGTGGAATCTGTTGAAGAATGTGTTTGCAAACATTTTGTTCCACCGCAGTTCAGTGTGCAAGAATCCTGTTCTTATGGTTTTTTTGGTTGCTTTTGTATTTTGGCAGCCGATCAAGGTCCCCAGTCAGGAGAGAACGGAGCCCAGTTCGTGAAGATAGGTCATTGAGTCCTCGATACAGAAGCCCAGAACCCAGAGACAGCCCTCCACCCTCGAAGACAAGGAATCGGAGTCTGACTCCTGATGAGGGCAGTCCGCGAGGTGAGGCTTCTCCTCGTAATGGCCGGCTGGGTGCCCGGCAGGATGGATCTGACTACAGTCCCAGAGACAAGAGCAGAAGCCCCGCAAGTAGCCCCGCAAGGGACAACTATGTTAGCCCTAAAGCTAATGGTCGCAGCCGGAGTGCTAGCCCGAAGGATGACCGAAGCCCCATTGAAGATGATGATGATGCCCGCCATTCTCCTCGAGGCAGCGAGTCACCTTAAGATGTATTCAGTGGTGTAAGAAGACAGGCCTAGTATTTTATTATTTATTATGTAGCTGTCTTGTGCAACTCTGACGGGCATAACTTGTGTTTATGGTTTTATGAAGGGACAGTTCTGTTATTTATGTCGCTCCGCTGGTTCTTATTGGGTGCGATAAATGTTGGCGGTCACTTGAATTATGGGGGGGTATACGAAATATACAAATACGATGCCAGAATTTTGCCAGAACCATCATGTCACCGTGAATCAAGCGTGCGCGGGGAGTCCGTTGCTCGTCTTAGGTTTCATGTGGACAGAGTATTTACTTTATATTTTATAAATTATAATTAAAGAGTTATTTATAAGTCAAGTTTGAAGGTGATTAAAATTATGGTATTGTGGGTGAGGTTGAGATGTCCTCATTGAAATTTGCCTGGCACGGACACTTATTAAATATTACCGTTTTGTTTTTTTTTAATTGTCACTTATAGCAGGGGTTTTTGGCCTGTGCTCATTAATTAATGGAGATAAATCTAAAAGTGAAGAGAAAGAAAATGAGTGAGAAAAAATATAATAGTTATTATTTAGTAAAGGTAAAAATGAAAGATTTAATGTATTTAATAATCTTATTATGTGAGAAATTGACCAGAGTGATAAATATTATGATCGCCAAAAAAATATTTAATATTAGTGTTTAGTATAAATGCAGAACGTAGAACTTAAAATAAGTTCATGCTACTTTTTTGACGATAATGCTATTCACAGTTGTGAAATATTCACAATGTCCTCGGACTAAAATTTGAAGGTATTATCCAGCGTGCTGTAATTGATGTTATTTTGTTGAGTCTATTGAATTAATCACAGTGTGACATTTTTGTCGCCGAAAAAAAATCTGCTTTGTATCCTTTCCTGAGAAGGCGCACGAGTGAAAGGGAACGCGAAACGCAGCAGCGCATCGGTAGTCTTATCTGCGTCCTCATTATGGTTCTTATTGGGTTCTCAATATCTATCTCTGAGTGGGAATCTTAAATTGAAGTTATGTCTCTGCGCCTCACTTTCCCCTCTCCCTCCGCCGTCTGCTCGGCGGCGCGTTCTCCACGGCTGCCCTCTAAGAAGACGACACTTGATAAAAAGCAAAGCCTCACCACCTTAGGCTTCGGCGGCGACAAGAAACATGAACTATGGCGTTGCGTTGAGGGTTGTGGGGCCTGCTGCAAGCTCCAAAAAGGCCCTTCGTTTGCCTCTCCTGAAGAAATTTTTACGCGCCCTTCTGATGTTGAGGTTTGCTTCTCCTTTTACTTCTCCAGCTTTTTGCTCCTTCCGGGCTTCAGAAAACTTATAAAGCCTCGCCTCTTGACCACACACTTCCCTTCCATTCTTCTTTTGATCAATTTCAGCTCTATAAAAGCTTGATAGGTCCAGATGGATGGTGTGTTCATTTTCAAAAGAGCACTCGAACTTGTTCCATTTACGCTGGTAAAACCACGCATCCCCCTCACGCTCTTCATTAGGCTGATGTCAGTTTTAACTTTGAGTGTGGCTGTGCGCCTCTTTGTTCTCCAGATCGTCCGTACTTCTGTCGCGTAGAGCCAGATATATTCGAATCTTTATACGGAATACACAGAAAAAAATTCAACAAGGAGGCCTGCAGGTTCGATATCTATTTTCTCATTTATTTACCCAATAAGTGAGCACTTGTCGTGAAATCCTTCAATTTTCTCTCTGCAGTAGCTGCAGGGACACCATTAAGGCAATTCATGGCTCCAATTCGGAGGAACTACGCAATTTCAATTACTCAATAAGGAGCTCTTCTAGTTAGATTTGAAGACTTGCGCATTGTTACTGCTCAAGCTCTTTTTCGTTGCTGTTCATTCTTAAAGCTGCTGGACTTTTCTGGTTTGAGTGCTCACAGATGATTCGAAACAACTACGACAACCAGAGATAGGGAAATCGTTATATTTCATAGTATACCGATGAACAAGAAACATCGTAATGCCAGAATAGCCACGCATTTACATGAAATTCCACATTGTCCTCTCTTCTCCCATACGTGTTCTGGGGAATTTTCGCTGCACTTCAATGCAGCAGTATAGACTATAGAGTTCTTCATTGTGTAATGTTGCATGATAATATGTGATGAGAAAAAGGTTTTGTCAATGATCGAGCGCATTGCTGCCGGGAAAGCCATATCATTTTACTATTGTTTTTGGTCCTAAACTCCATTTGCTGAGGTGCCTTAAAGCAGAGTCGGTAAATAACTTCCGTTGGTGCTGGAAGGTGACTAATCTAAATTTGTGAGGTGAAGATACTGAATTTTGCTTGATTGTTGAGCAGTAGCCAGTAGGCACCTATTCATGACATTTTTACATGGGTATCAACATTTGCACAATGCTTCTCACTTATCATCTGTTAGATGATAGAGCCAAGGCCCAGTTCAGCTTCAATGTCATCTCCATCTTCAAATAATTTTACAAACCGAGCCTGCTCCTTCTCCCTCTTCTTCTTTTGCCAGTACTTGTATGAAGCCACCATTCCGATTATAAGCATAGCGGTTATTAAAGAACTTAGCAAAACCACGACTGCTATTTGCATTCCTTTTCCACTATCATGCACCTCAGATGCTGGGCTAGACGCTACACACGTTAAGAAAATTATTGTTACTAGCGCTGAAATAAAGTACCAAAGCGTGCTAACTCAGAAGACAAAATCTAGGAAAATTGGTTCAGAAATGCAACTAAGGGTAGCAAATCTTACCCTGGGATGCCTAATCATCCCTCATAGCGAGGAGGCAAGAAATAACATGAGAAAATGTGGGGACCTAAGGTAACAGCCTCATTGAAGAGATTAGCATACAACTATGAAAGCCAGGGAAAAAACAAATACATTATTTCTTAAATAATGTTAATTTCTCTTTTCTGAAATAAATCCTGAAATTCAAGTACTTAACTAGAAATTGGAATAAGCTTCCAGTATCTTCAAATTGCAACAGCATCTCGTGAAATATAAGAGCTTTGCAAACAACGTACTTATAGATCTAGAGTGGCCATTCCATCATGAATAGTGTAGAAGGAATTTTAATAAATAAATATACCAAAACACTCACCATTAAAGAAAGATAAGCATTCTGGGCACAGAAAAGAGGCATTAAATTCCTTCTTCTTGAAATGAACGTACATGCCATAAGGGGCGTGAAAATCGGAAGGACAAAGCTCCCATTCGTCATATGCGTCATCTGAAATAATACTGTTTTCTTCATAAATTCCACATCGCTGGCACTTTGTACTCGAGAAGTTAGTCAAAGGCTGGAAATGTGAAGCAAATTTTCGGAAGTTGTTCGAAAGAATAATAACCCGCAACTAAATGATTACAAATGCTAACCATATGAATAATGATTAAGTTTCAGGTGACATAGCCAAATTACTCGGAGCTCACTTGTGAAGAAATTGATTCTATATGATTACTTACAAAATAGTTTGTAGATGTGCTAGTTATCTGAGTTCATTTACTTTGCTACTACGAATGTTTGCCAATAACACAGACTTTGCATTTGCATCGTTCCATCCAGGTTTCCAATTATAGATATCACAGCTGCAAATGAACAGAGTAGTGCCTCTGATATGGGAAAACCATACAACCAAAACATCAGCTTGTGAAATCAGAAAATTGGAGATTGATTTTCTTCAGTTAAGCTCCGGATTAGAACCCTATAAAGATTCTAAACCTGATCAACTACTTTCATTTAAAATAAAAATTTTATGAATCTGTTTCCTCTTGATCCAATGAGTAGTTAGTAGAAGAGTTGCGCCACGCTTCTATGCCCATATCCTATCAAGCAGAATTTTAGAGAGAGAGAGAGCAAAATATGGAACATTGTGATTGCAGGTAGGCCAATTTTGTTATGTTCAGCGGCATTTCATTGCTTGTCTAAATTCTCAACTTTTACACACTTAAGAAATAAGCAATGCAATCAAGAGTAGATAATTAGAAATAGTTATCATGCAGACTAATTACAATATTGGACTATTAGCAGAAGTAAATGTTGCTGGAATGCGTACAGAATAATAAGCAGAAACAATTTTTTAGTCCGGAAAAAAAGAAAAAGAACAAGTAGCAAGAGAGAACCTGCCATGATTCTTCACCCTTAAAAGTATACAAAAGATGCGCTTTCTTGACATCCGGCAGTACCGTCTTGTTCTCCTCCTTGCATAGGAAATAAACAGTTGGAGTGACCTTCAGCCAATTATGGGTTTTAAAGATTTCAATCGAATTTAGTGTGACAGATGCAGACAATACAAATCCTGCGCGGTGAAGAGCAGAAGCCACAGCAATTAGATAGCCATTAATTCACTCAGTTTACTCATCTACACTTGGCAGGAGGGGAAAAACAGAGAGACTCCTATATATAATAATTGGCCAAAAATGATAATGACCAAGAACATTCACAGCTCTCTGCCAAACTCAAACCCCTCTCAGCTGAGAGTCATGTGATTTACCCCTTTTTATTAATAAGCTTATTGAACATCTAAAAATCTACTTGCATTAAACACTTATTTGGGGGGAAAAAAACAGAGAAGCTGATTGTTTCCGATGAAAAATTACCGTGAAAATAGCTAAAGAAAATCACAGAGATGAGAAGTACACCAGAAACCCTAGAGTTCCGCAGATGCAGAACCGTACCCGACATGGCGGATAACAGATCCCACAGTGATTAATTAATGGCTGACAGCCGAAGGACAAGATGTTGAGACCCTCGAAATGATCAGGCAATTGGCGGGAATGCTCACTTCTCTCCTCTCCTGAGTCTCCTTCATCGGTAAACGACAAGCTACGTTTCGCGTCGTAGTCAATGCAATAAACAACGAACCAGCTAGGGCGCCTTTCGGAGCTTGCCTTGACCGGGTCACAATGCGACTGATTAGACATTGCTTAATTGGCGGGAAAACGCTGTCGTCCAGCGATCACTAATTCTGGAATCGGGAATGGCTCTCCTCATCCCTGTCTAAGGGGATGTTTGGATGAAGCCAAATCATGGTTTGGAGAATAGCTTCTGGAGAATAGCTTTTGAAAGAATAGCTTTTCTGAAAAAGTGATTCTGATAAAGTGAGAGTGTTTGGATAGTTGTTGTCAGAAGTGCTTTTTTATATTTAGAAATTACTAAAAAGGATATAAATTTAAATGATAATTATATATAAGATATATTTCATAATATATGTTTATTTGAAGTAAATAAATAATATTAATACAAAAATTAATACGTATATATATTAATAAAATAAATAAATATGTTTTTTTGCAAAATGATTTAATAAAATAATTAAATATGTATATATATTAATAAATAATATATGTTAATAAAATAATTAAAATTAAAACGTATATATATTAATAAAATAAGTAAATATGTTTTTTGTAAAATATATTATTTAACCTCAAGGCTCACCCTCACTGCCTCACAGACTCGAGTTGGTATTCACGCGTTGCCTCTTGGTCACTCCCCTCCCTCGATTGGCGATTCACCGTGTCCCCCTCCCCAAGCACACAAAAACCACAAACCTTTGCCTCAGTCCGTCTCCGTCAGTCGAGTACTCAACGCTCGACGCTCATTTCCCCAAAGCCCCCACCTCTCTCGACGCCTGTGCTCTCTCCTCTCTCATCGGCGTTGCCTCCGTCAGTCCCGTCTTGGCGTCTCGTCTGGTTGAAGCGAAGCCAGGAGGCTGGCTCTCTCCTCCCTCGTCGGCGTTGCCTCCGTTAGTCTCGTCTCGTTGAAGCGAAGACAGGAGGCTGGAGAGTGAAGGACCGAAGAGCTCTGTTTTCTTCAGAACGAAGCATGGACAGTGAAGGACCGAAGAGCTTGTGCCTCCTTCTGAGCGAAGCACCAAGAGTGAAGGCGTAGGATGGAGCTCGGTCGAGTGAAGGAGGAAGGAAATAACTGAAGCTTCTTCTGTGTAATATTCCTGGGCCCACCAACAATCAATTATTTGAAGCAAGCAGAAGCAGCCCTCCGTCCCATTATCCGAAACCAAAGTTTTGTGGGACAAAACCATGGTTTCTCCCAAAACCATGGTTTCAGTTTTTGAGGAGTGTTTGGCAAATTTTTTCCAAACCATGGTTTGAGGAAGAGCCAAACACCTCCTAAGAGGATGTCTAGATAGAATCAAAATTACAGTTTTAAAAATATTTGTACAGTATATAAAATAAATACGTGAAAAAAATTTATTTTATTTTATAAAAAATTAAAAAATACTTTTAGGTGTTTTCAAATATTCCAAGCCAGTTCCCTGTCGTTTACTTTAATCCGCCCTTCTGCAGCAAACCCGGATGCGTCGAATTTAGTCAGTCCTGTTTATTGTTAAAAAAAAGAGCAGCTTTACGATAACTTGCCAGGATCAGACATCAGTGAGAAGTAGCATCTCAAAGACAAGACCAATAAGCAACGGGTTAAAAGTTTTGCTTCCGACCTTTTACACATGTTTGAAGCTCACTGGATTTGACGGAGAATTAGGCGCGCAACAACCTATTGATGGGCATATCGCATATAGGCGTCTTGTAATGGGAAACGACGGTATTGGTTAATCATCTAATTAAATTGTGTCTCAAAATATCATATACTTGGGAAACTAATGCTTTATTTGCAATGTTGGTTGAGGAATCACGAGTGTCCTGTCGGATTTTGACTATAGATGGACCATTGAACCCCCATAAACCGCGCCGCTATATTTTCTACATTGCATTCATGAAGCACAATGCTCTGTTTTGCTTAACCACATGCAGTCTCAAATATATAATCCAAAAACATGGAGTTAAATAAAAATTGGCGTTGAAGAACGACATGGTGAGTTTAGCTAAGGAAGAGAATGGCTAATCCTTAGAATATTTCTCACAAGCCACCCTATCTCTTTCTACCTAGCCGGACCCTGGGCGTCCAGTTCAGAATAACACAATGTATCCAAATCAGCTCATCGCCGCCATATTTATCCTCTTCCTCGCCCACGACGTCTCCGGTCAGCCCTTCCACATACGTAACCGTCACGGTGGTCACCGCCATGGCGGCCATCACCGATACCATTATCGACGTCCTATGCTGCCCAGGCCAGGCGCCCACCAAGGAACACCGGCAACACCAGCAGCGCCGAAAAAACCCGTCGCAGTTCCTATTCCGGCATTACCATTTACCCCTGTCACGCCTTCTCTTCCAGCCACACCAAAAACCCCCGTCACAATGCCTGCCAAACCACCACCACCAACGTCGCTGCCACTCGGAATAATAGGTGAAATCTCGGAGCACGCAAAAATGTTCGGATGGGACCCAATGAAGGTGATCAAAGGATGCGGTCCTAGCTGCGACTTGCTCAAATATCTTCACAAGCAAGAATTCCTAATAGCCCACAATTGGGTCAGGCTTTTATTCAAACTGCCATCTTTCACGTGGGACGAGAAGCTCGAGAGTGCCGCAAAACAATACGTGATGCAGCGCTACAAGGATTGCATGGATGTTCACTCGAACCTTCCTTACGGAGAGAACATTTTCTGGGGCCTAAAGCTGCATTGGACGCCGTCGGACGCGGTGTATTCTTGGTTCAATGAGAGCAAATGGTACGATTTCAAGAACCTTCAGTGCACGGCGCCGCCCGGCGAGGATTGTGGGCATTTTACGCAGATTGTGTGGAAGGACTCTGCGCGTTTGGGTTGTGCCCTCCAGCATTGCCAAGATCCCACTAAGGGTATGTTGATCGTCTGCGAGTACGACCCTCCCGGCAACTACGACAACGAGAACCCTTTGGACGATAACAATGCCAAACACCACTCCTAATTCATTTTAGCTTCCTTCCATAACCCACACACACACACACACATATCTATATATATATATGAGTGCGGATATATATGTGGTTGTACTGCATTGCTACTTCATCCCCCACGCATGCTTTTTTGTATCTCTTTTTATCCGAGGGTTGGTGGCATAATTTACAGAAACATGAACAGAATCAGATTCTTTCTTGGTTTGGAATTGGAGCCTTAACAGAACAAGATTCGCCTTCCATGTTTTTCAATTGGTGATAATGAAAGGTGAATGAAGATTAAAATGGAATGAACATACAATAAATCGATTGTGATTCCCCTGCCATGCCACCGAGATATTATGCTTGATGGTTACGCCTCAACTGAACAGAGCAGGACACTGCATGTACCGTAACAACTACCCCGCGCTCTTTTTCTCCCTGCCTTATTACTTACTTCATTCAAACGTAACAATATCGATTTGAAAAATGGAAAAGAAACTGCGATAACGTTCTCGTGTCAGATTTTCATCGCGAGAGGGAGAGGGATATAGCAGGGCAAAAGCAGAGCAACAAAATAATCAAAATCAGAATTCTCATTCATCTACAAACAGGGTTCTAATGAATCCTCCTCATCGCTAATTCTTGACCTTTGTTTTTTACGGGGATGAGGGATGCAGCAACACGCATGGTTCAATTTTCAAGTGAGTTTAGGTGGAGTCACTGTGAGAAGACCTTGGTGTCTAACTGGTACGCCTTGGTGAAGAATGCAGGCCAACAGAGGTAGGTAGACATTATACTGCTAATAGTCGATGCACCTATCAGCATATTCATGACCACAATCTGAAGTTGAATGGCCTCTAATGGTGATGCCCCTCCCATAATCATACCAGTCATTGCCCCAGGAAGCGATATTAGACCTACAGTTTTGGCGTTGTCCACTACAGGCGAAAGTGCAATTACCAGAGACCTTTTCACCTGCTGATGCGTAGCTTGTCGTGGGGTCGCACCAAGAGCCAAAGCCGTCTCAACCTGAACAAGAAAGGGAGGGGAAAAAAAACTCGTTTCATTCAGACTTTGAAACCGAATCTTCATAAAGAGTAAAAGGCTTACTGACCAAGTTCATCTGCCCCTGGACGTCGTCTCGGAGTCTTTTCATGGTAACTCCGGTGACAGTCATTGAATTTCCGACCATCATGCCGGCGACGGGGATGATGTATCTGGGAGTGAAGGGAACACGCTCAGCAACACTAGCAGCAGCATAGTGATTGACGTTCCTGTGAGAATGGAAGCACCGGCCACATATTTACCACGAGGGATTTGTTTGGCTCGTTGACCCGCCGTGTAACCAGCAACTATCACCTTCATCACAAATTGATCCATAATTTTACGGTCAATAACGGGCGGTATTCATTTTTTTCCCCCTTTTCTTCTCATCACTCTCACAGATGAAGAATATTAAGTGCTACTGAGTTGACTCGGTGTCCATGAATTATAAGTCATCTTCCATGGAATATTTTGGGAGCAGAAGAATGGATTTAATTTTTCCTGAGCGAGCGACCCGATAGAGAATCTGAGCTAGTTCTGAAATGATCCAAGAATTTTTTTTTTTTTTAAAATGCTGTTGAGATCTCAAAGTCTGTCTTTTCTAAATATCAGACAATCATTTTTTAAGTTCACGGGGTCAATGTGAACACTGAATTCTGATTGAACATCGGCAGAGATTTAATTTTGAAATGTGCATGCGGTTATCAAAAATCAAAGCAAAAGACATAATTTTAAAAGCTGAATTGAAATACTTATTTTTGAATGGTAAGGGAAGTGATATTTTGAGGTCGAATCATTGGTGGGGACAAAAAATAACAAAGGAATACACGAACGAGCATTTCAAAATGAAAAAGAAGACTCTGGAATTTACCCTCATTTCGTCGGTAAGAAAGATGGGGGGGGGGTAAAAGAACAGAACAGGATGAATCTTCGACCCAGAAAGAGATTGAGTTCCTCAAAGACGGCATAGAAGTTTGCCTTGAATGTTTTAATCCAGAAAACTAGAGATTAAAAAAAAAAAAAAAAAAGAGGCGTTTCATTGATAAAAGAAGCACCTTCTTGTTGGCGCCGGGGGCAGAGAGAG